AGAGATGGATGGACAGATAGATAAGAGAGATGGATGGACAGATAGATAGATAAATAGACAGAGATAGATGGATGGATGGATAAATTAGAGATGGATGGATGGACAGGCAGGGAGGCAGGCAGGCATGGATGGACAGACAGACATAAAGAAATCGTAACTAATGAAGTTTTGCTGTTCTTTTAAATCCACTCATTGGCCCCAATACAACACAGCCAGGAGAGATGCCGAAAGCATTGGTTGTATGGCAGTACACAAGCAGACACACAAGGCAGGATTCACAGAGAAGATTCTCCAAGCTTTGGCTGAAGAAGGGAGCAAACTTACCTTCCTTTGCTTCTCCGGAGCCTTGAGTAAAAAGGAGTTGATACTGCTTGTTGGGAAAGTTGGCTGGGAAAAATTTATTCATCATGGGGCTGAAATGAGACCGGAAGGAAGAAGGAGGAAAAGTGAAAAAAAGAAGGGAAGGATGACATGGTTTTAAAAGGCACAACCCAGAAGGGAAGCTGTATGGAAGGAAAATCAAAATCCCATAAAAATACCTTTATAAAGCTAAATAAAGGAGTACCAAATAGTTAGAGCTATGTTTCTCAACCTCAGGCACTTTAAAGTGGGTGGACTTCAACACCCAGAATTCCCCAACCAGCATGCGAATATATGTTAAGATGGGTGGTCTTCAATTCCTAGAATTCCTCAGCCAGCATGCGAATAAATTTCAAAATGGCTGGACTTCAACAGCAAGAATTTCCCCAGCCATCATGTAAATAAATTTTGAAATGGCTGGACTTCAACACCCAGAATTCCCCAGTCAGCATGCAAATAAATTTCAAAATGGCTGGACTTCAACAGCCAAAATTCCCCAGTCAGCATGCAAATAAATTTCAAAATGGCTGGACTTCAACAGCCAAAATTTCCCCAGCCATCATGCAAATAAATTTCAAAATGGCTGGACTTCAACACCCAGAATTCCTTTGTCAGCATGCAAATAAACATTAATATGGACTTCAACTCCCAGAGTTCCTTTGTCAGCATGCTAACCTAGCTGAGGTTGTAAAACACAAGTTTAGAAACACGGAAACCGGAAGCCATCAATGATGCAGTCAGATCTGAGTTAATTTAGCCACTATTTATTAAGAAAATTTATAGGGTTGCCCAATTCACTCCAGGTGACTGTGAGCACCTTACTGTGGACGACCCCAAATACAAACCCCCAGAAAACCCTCCCAGGCCCCTGGATGACAATCTAACCAGCCACTTGATGTATCATTATGGGGTCCCCCCACCTCCCCCACCCCATGGCAAAACCAGGTCCTTGGGGGGCTTTTTAGAGTGTCACGGACAGAGTGTGTCTGCAGGGATGATGTTCCATAGAGAGGGAGCCACCACGGAGAAGGCCCTTCTTCGGGATCTCACCAGATGGGCCTCCTGGAGAGGAAGGGGCCTATAACATCTCCCACCTCCCCGCTCTGGTGGGTAACTGGGAAAGGAGGAGTCCTTCAAATAACCCAGCTTTAAGCCACGGAGGGATTTAAAGGTGACAACCCAGTACCTGGAATTGAACCCCCGGAAGCAAATCGGTACCCAATAAACATTGCTTCTAGAGGGGTTTTGAAGCACCTGAAGGCAGGTCAGGAAGCAATGGGTGGAAAACTCATCCGGGAGAGAAGCAACCTGGAACTAAGGAGGAATTTCCTGACAAGTGAGGACAATTAACCAGTGGAACTGCTTGCTACTGGAAGTTGTGGGTGCTCCTACACTGGAGGTTTTTAAGAGATGGAACCTCCATTTGTCTGAAATGGTATAGAGTTTCTTGCCTGAGCAGGGGGTTGGACTAAATGACCCTCCAAGGTCCCTTCCAACTCCGTTAGTCTGTAGGTCTATAACGGTCTCCTGCTTGAGCGGGAGGTTGGAATAGATGACCTCCAGGGTCCCTTCCAACTCTTGTCATTACGTATTCTATTATTAATTTACAATCAACCTTTTGACTTGAAATTCTCCAGGAAAAAAAAGCCGTTTTAGCCTCATCCCCGCAGCTGGGTCAGAGGATGCAAGGCCGAACACTCCCCAAATTCTGTTCCAGGATTGCCAATAAACAAGCTTTCATTAATTTTGTCTGAAATGGGATAGGCCAGGTTTCCTGCCTAAGCAGGGGGTTGGACTAGAAGACTTTCGAGGTCCCTTCCAACTCTGTTATTCTATTCTGTTCTGTTCTGTTCTGTTCTGTTCTATTAATCATATAAACTAGACCTCACAAGGTAACCCTTCGTTTTCTGGTTGTTAAGGCACGGCAGTGGGTGGAACTGAGCAAGTCCACATTAAACCTTCTTTGGCACTTGGAGATCAAAACGAAGGTTTGTTTTGTTTCTTAAACTCTTTTTTAAGAGGCTGGGAGTCTTTTGTTTTCAACAGGGAAAGCTGGCCTCAGAAGAGGGCAGATGTTCTCCACCCACAGGTAAATATTCTCATTTGTGTGTAAAGGAGAGGAAGCTCTGTGAGCAGCTGAATGCCCATTTCCCATCTGATAAGGCAGTTAACTATTAAACTGAAGATTGCCAGCATTTTAACCTTTCCTTTATGCGCAATAATCAACCAGGAAGCTTTTTTTTGCAAATGACGAGGCCTCCAAAAGTTTTAAACGGTTGTCCACTAAGACTCCGAGGTCTCTCTCACCGTTACTACGATCGAGCGAGGTACCACCTATACCGCCCCTGCGCATTTTGGTTTTTCTTGCCTAAATGTAGAACTTGATTCATTATTTTTTCCACCCTTGAATTTCATTTTGTTAGATAACGCCCAATGTTCCAAGTCTATCAAGATCCTTCTTGTAGCTTAAGCCTTTTATCTTCTGAAGTGATGGCTATTCCTGCCAGCTTGGTGTCTTCTGCCAATTTGATGCGTTCCCCATCTATCCCCCTTGTCCAAGTCATTGATGAAGATGTCCTGGGCCTAAAACAGACCCCACTGCATACCTCCCTCCACGTAGGGGCAGTTTCCATTGAGGAGCTGCATATATTGTGTCCTTCACAATTCTGGTCCTTTACCTGATAGTGTGGGACAGCGCGAGGATCCCAAGGACGAAGAAATACATGGAGAGCAACAGATTGATATATTCTTGGGAGAAGATCTAAGAAGACAAAACAAAAAACGGGTCAGACGAAACTTTGGGTTTCTCCAACAACGCGAACGTAATCGTAAAAGCACGTCCCCGTTTTCATTTTTGATATTTTGAGCAAAATCATTCCAGCCAGCTCACGGAAAGCTCTTTCCCTTTCCACCAGGACTGGTTTTTTTTTTTTTAAAGGAAAAAAAAAAGTATTTATTAGTTAAGTTTACTGTATTGATTAGCCCTTGGGCCATATCAAAGTGCAGAGTTCCAGACACAAATGATTACTAAAACCTGATAAAAACAATTTGAAACGGCATTGGAATAAAATACGATTTAAAATGGAATTGGAATAAAATACAATAATTTAATACACAGGTAAATAGGATAAAATTATATTTCGGTGTGACTCCTATTTGTTAGTTCTTTGTATCCCTGCTTTTATATTTTTTTACAAATAACTCCAGGCGTTGAAGGTCTCCAACACAAATTCTAGTTAACGAAAGCGCCAAAGCTCCTGTTGAAGGAAAAAACGTTTTGGTAAGAGCTACAGGGAAGAAAAAAATAATAATCCACGTTTCTTTTCTTGTTTTGACTGACTTTAAATACTCACAGGAAAAAAAAAAAAGGAACAAAACGCAGAGATAACTAGGGTAGAAAGGCGTGCAGTATCAAAGGAAAATAAAAGTGTAACAAGTGATTTTTAAAAAGGTGACAAAAATACAGAACAATGAAAACAGAGTTCTAACAGTAATCAGTTTCAATTCTAAATATATTTATCTAATGCAAATGTTATGACAGCATGTTTCTATTTCTATTACACTTATATAACTATTGTGCTTTTTAAAAAAAACCTACTGTATTTTTTGCATTAAAAAGTTGTTTATTCTGTATTATTAGCTTATCCATACAAAGTCTACATTTCTCTCATGGGTGGCGAGTACAATCAGTTCTCTGATCCATTGATTGATTAAATTTATTTGTTTCCAATGCTGCAATATCAGCCTTTCAGCCATAGTACAGCTAGGCCTTGACTTATAACTAGTCACTTAATGATAGTTCAAAGTTACAGGTAGTCCTCAACTTAGGACCACAACTGAGCCCCAAATCTGTGTTGCTATGTGAGATCTTTGGTTACGTGCGTGTTACGTGTTTTGCCATGACTGAGATGAGGGAATAGAAGGGGAACTTACCGAATTTGCAAATGATACTAAGCTGGCAGGAGTAGCTAACGCCCAAGAAGATAGGCTCAAGATCCAGAGGGATCTTGACAGACTCGAACACTGGGCCGTATCCAACAAAATGAAATTCAACGTAGAGAAAAGTAAAGTCCTACACTTAGGCAAGAAAAACCAAAAGGACCCATACAGACTGGGTGAAACCAGGCTCAATAGCAATAACTGGGAGAGGGATCTTGGCGTCTTAGTGGACAACCACCTAAATAGGAGCCAGCCATGTGTGGTGGCAGCCAAAAAAGCCAATGCAATCCTAAATTGCATTAACAGAGGGATACAATCGAGATCAAGGAAGGTACTAATACCACTCTGTAAAGCCTTAGTAAGGCCACACCTAGAGTATTGTCCAGTTTTGTTCACCACACTATAAAAAAGATGCTGAGACTCTAGAAAGAGGGCAGAGAAGAGCAACTAGGATGATGAGGGGACTTGAGGCTAAAACAAATGAAAAACGGTTGCAGGAACTGGGCCTGGCTAGTCTAGGGAAGAGAAGGACCAGGGGAGACAGGAGAGCATCTTCCAATATTTGAGGGGCTGCCACAGGGAGGAGGAAGGGGTCAAGCTATTCTCCAAGGCACCTGAAGGCCAGACAAGGAAGAATGGATGGAAACTGAACAAGGAGAGATTCAACCTGGAAATAAGGAGACACTTTCTGACAGTGAGAACAATCCACCCATGGAACAGAAGTTGCCCTCAGAAGTTGTGGGAGCTTCATCCCTGGAGGCTTTCAAGAAGAGACTGGACTCCTATCTGTCAGAAATGGTGTAGGGACTCCTGCTTGGGAGTGGGGGGGGGTTGGACTAGATGACCTACAAGGTCCCTTCCAACTCTGATTACCTGTTGATCTGTCATAAGTGTGAAAAATGGTCATAAGTCGCTTTTTCTCAGTGCCATTGTTGTAACTTTGAACTGTCACGAAGTGAAACTGTTGTGAGTCAAGGACCATCTGTGAGCTTTGCCTCATTTTACGACCTTTCTTGCCACAGTGGTTAAGGGAATCCCTGCAGTTGCGACGTAAAGAAAACGGCTGTTAAGTGAATCCAGCTTCCCTGTTGAACTCTGCTCGTCAGAAGCTCGCAAAAGGGGGGGGGGGGGACGACATTACAACGGTCATAAATGCGAGTCAGTTGCCAAGCGTCTGAATTTGGATCGTGGGATACAAACGATTGTAAGTGTGAAAAAAACAATAAGTCATTTTTTTTCCATACTATTGTTGCAACTTCTGTCACTTAAATGCGTTGTAAGTCCGGGACTATTTGTGCAGCGTTTTAATGTTAGAAAAACGTTGTTTTATCATGCTGTAGATTTTTCCCACTTTTATGTGGCACTGAGAGGGGCAGCCGATAAATGCAATCGATAAATGAAATAAATATTTAGCTAAGAAGAAATGGAGCTTTGCGTGCCTCAGTTTACAACCCCAAAGGCCAGCCTCTCCGGCCACAGAACCAACCCCAAAGGCAAACAAACCCTATTGGCAAAGGATATTTCCAATTTATGCCACTTCCTCCTTGTCTTTTGACAGTCACTCAAAGCCGTGTCTTGCATGAGGTTTCACATTCAGATATTACAAGTGATTTATTGCGAGCATTTTCAAGAAAGAGCCTTTTTTAAATTTCCTGCTCTGCAGGTTTTTTAATTCCTGCCCCCTGTACATTCAATCTGTTTAGGACCCTAGCAAAATAATAATAATAATAATCATCTATGGACAAATAATAAAAACAAGATGAAGCCGCCAGCAACTCCTGATTTTACAAGGCTTGGCAAGCCGTTTGCATATGATTTACCTCGCTTTCCCTCTGAAAATGAGAACCCATGTGGGCATCCAGACGCTCCTTGAGAAAGCTCATTCTTCTTCCGCAGGCTAACATGTGCAGCCGGGCGTCCTTAAAATACATCAGAAAAACACCCAGCTACCTTTTCATTCCCACAATGCATCAGTGGGGCGGGGGGGGAGGGGAATTATGGGAAACAAAAATGGCGGCTGAGGGGGTCCTTGGCGCTCTTGGAGTATGTTGGTTTTCTTGCAGAAGTTTCATGAGCCAACTTGGTAACGTCAACCCTCCCACGTTCTAGCACGGATGATGCTACCTAGTTGGGTGGTGAAATGTCTGCAAGAAAACCGTCAAGCTCAAAGACCACCACGGAGGGCCCCACAGTCATCCTCCTCCTCCCAGCTTCTAGCACTGATAATGCTACCTAGTTGGGTCATGAGACATCTGCAAGAGAAACCATCAAGGACCCCCAGTCATCCTCCTCTTCCTCCTTCTCCCTCCCTCTCATCCTCCCTTTCCTCTCCTCCCTTCCTCCTCCACCTCCTCAGCTCCCTTCTAACACTGATGATGGTTCCTAGTTGGATAAGGAAACGCTTTGCAAGAAAACCACCAAGCTCAGAGATCGCCAAGGACCCCAGTTTTCCTCCTCCTCCTTCCTAGCACTGATGATATTCCCTAGTTGGGTCATAAAACGTCTGCAAGAAAAGCATCGCGCTCAGAGACCACCCAGGACCCCACAATCCTCCTCCTTCACTCCACAAACCCACACCTTTTTAGCACGGATGATGTACCCTTGTTGGGTCACGAAATATCTGCAAGAAAGCAACCAAGCTCAGAGAGCACCAGGGACCCCCACAGTTCTCCTCCTTCCTCCTAGCACTGATTATGTTCCTTAGCCAGATAATGAAACGTCTGCAAGGAAACCATCCAGGGAGCACTGAGGAGGCCACAGTCCTCCTCGCCTTCCCCTTCTACTTCATTCCGCAAGGTCCACACCTGTATAGCACTGAGGATGTTCCCCAGTTGGGTCATGAAACGTCTGCAAGAAAACTATCGGCTTGAGGTCACAAATATCACTTCACCCTGGGACACGGCGACCGTCCACAAATAGGAGGATAAATAGGTGGATCGCGTGACCAGGGGGATGCTGGAAAGGTCGTAAGTGTGAATAAGGGCCCCAAGCCACTTTCTTCCTCCCCAGGGCTGTTGTAATTCCAAACGGCCGCTGATCCAAACGGTCGTAAGTGGAGGGTTTCCTGCACGGTGCAACCGACAACCGTGCCTTGTTTCTTGTGGGGATTCCCCGAAGCAGCCTCCGGGCTTCTGACTTCCAGAAAATATCTTTCTAAATATCTGGAGATGCAAACCACCGTCTCACAGGAAATGTGGTTTGCCGATTAGCGACGCTCCCTGGCCTGAAGGCGCAGGCCGCGACTGGCAAACAGGTCGAACGGCAATGCAATCCCAATTCAGTTCAAATACCTCACGGAGGACGGTGAGGCTGCAAAAGGGCTGGGCGGGGGGAAGGAAACAGGGACACCCCCCCAACCTGGGAAGTGTGGTATTGACTGGAGGAAGGCACTGGAGAGGTTAAGAAACCGGGAGACTGGGAGTTCTAGTCCCACCTTAGGCATAGAAACCTGGCTGGGGGACTTGGACCGAGCATCAGGAGATGGTGAGTTGTAGTCTCGCTTTAGGCACAAAAGGAGGCTGGGTGACTTTGGGGCGATCACCAGGAGACGGTGAGTTCTAGTCCTGTTTTAATGGTGAAAGCTGACTGGGTGACTTTGGGCCATTCACCAGGAGACTGTGAGTCCTAGTCCCATCTTAGGCATGAAAGCTGACTGGGTGACTTTGGGCCAATCACCAGGAGACGGTAAGTTCTAGTCCCGCCTTAGGCATGAAAGACAGCTGGATGACTCTGGGCCAATCACCAGGAGATGGAGAGTTCTAATCCCGCCTTAGGAATGAAAGACAGCTGGGTGACTTTGGGCCAATCACCAGGAGTTGGTGAGTTCTAGTCCCGCCTTAGGCATGAAAGACAGCTGGGTGACTTTGGGCCAATCACCAGGAGACGGTGTTTTAATGGTGAAAACTGACTAGTTGACTCTGGGCCAATCACCAGGAGACAGTGAGTTCTAGTCCCGCCTTAGGCATGAAAGACAGTTGGGTGACTTTGGGCCAATCACCAGGAGTGAGTTCTAGTCCCACCTTAGGTATGAAAGCTGGCTGGGTGACTCTGGGCCAATCACCAGGAGATGGAGAGTTCTAGTCCCATCTTAGGCACGAAAGCCAGCTGAATGATCAAACACCAGGAGGGGGCAAATTCTAGTCCTCCCCTTAGGAATGAAAGCTGGCTGGGTGACTTTGAGCCAATCACCAGGCCAGTGTGAGTTCTAGTTCCTGACTGGGGAATTTTGGGAGTTGAAGTCCATCCATCTTCACACTGTTTCCTAGTATGATTTGATTGCTTATTGTACCCTATGACTATCATTAAGTGTTGAACCTGATGATGCTTGACTCCTGATAAATATATCTTTTATTTTATGTTCACTGAGAGTATTTGCACCAAGACAAATTCCTTGTGCGTCCAATCACACTTGGCCAATAAAAGAATTCTATTCTATCCTTCTATTTTAAACCGCCAGGGTTGAGAGTCACTGCCTCTTACAGTAAATTGGAGGGGTCAGAATGGAAAATGCCTTCCTAGAGAACAGCCATGGGGCCACCTCCCTATATTTACCTCATGGATTATAAAATGTTGTTAATGTTTCCTGTTTGTCTCTGGCATTTTTCCCGATCCGCCTGAGGGACCATTCTTGAATATTTTATTATGTACTGAACTCATGCAAGCATCAAATCGCAGCGGTGTCAGATCGGGATATATATCTTGCTTCGGCGTCCTTCCCTGTTGTGCTACCTGCTAATTTAAAGCTCATTTATTTTAGAACCGTGGCTTTAAGTTTGCATTTTGCTTTTCCTGCAATCTGCGGCTCTGGTTTTCACTGAAAATAACCCACCTTCACTTTGATTGCACAATAGCAGATCACTTGCACCCTGCACAAACTTTAAAAAAGAAAAGCTAGGAGTTAACTGATCTATGATTATCTGTTGCTTTCTTGACCTTTAGGAAACCAGATTAAGCGTTCCTCTGAATGAAACCAGTGCCTCCAGTACACGGCCGACCAAACCAGATCAAAGAGGGAAGCTGTGATGTTTGGTTTGGCCTCCAGAAAGTACAAATTCCTTTCCAACAGATGGTTGGAAAAAGTTTCCTCCACATCCAAGAGGAACCACCGTTCTTCCTGGTCACAAGATAAAAAATATTGGATGAGCTTCAAATCAAGAGGAAAACTGAAACGTAAACAGAGAGCAAGCCCCACTTCCTCCCAGCACTGATGATGTTACCTAGCCGGGTCATGAAAAGTCTGCAAGCAAACCATCTCAGAAAGCACCCAATTTCCTCACGGTTCTCTTCCTCCTCCTCTTTACAAACCCCACTCCCTTCTAATACTGATGGTGTTACCTAGTCAGGTTATGAAACGTCTGCAAGAAAACCACCAAGCTGACAGAACAATACAGACCCATAATCCTCCTCTTCCTCCTTCTCTCTGCAAACCCCACTCCCTTCTAGCACTGATGGTGTTCCTTAGTTTGGTAATGAAACGTCTGAAAGAAAACCACCAAGCTCAACAGAGCACCAGGTCTCCTTCCTCCTTCTCCTCTTCCCCTTCCTTTCTTCCTCCTCCTCCTCTTCCTCACACACCCCCCCACCCTACTTCCTTATAGCACTGATGATGTTATCGGGTTCGGTCATGAAACGTCTGCAAGGAAACCATCGAGCTGACAGAGCAATAAAGACCCAGTTGTCATCCTCCTCCTCCTCTTCCTTCTCCCTGCAAACCCCGCTCCCTTCTAACACTGATGAGGTTACCTAGTCGGGTTACGAAACGTCTGCAAGGAAGGAATCCACCTCAGAGAGCGCCAAGGACCCCAGAGAAGACAACTGCCCCACCGAGGGACTTCTCAAGGGTGCTTTACTCACTTTGAAGAAGAGATAGAGTCCTAGGAGGGTGCAGCTGGCAACGATAGGAAAACGAGCCGCGTCTCGGCTGGTGATGGTCTCTGGCATGTCCGAAGCGTTCTAGGAGAGAAAGGGGCCGAGGGTGAGACGCTCAAAAGCCAGCCCACCCCTCATCCGCAGCCACGGGAAACCCCCCCTCCTCATTCCCCAGCAGAAGTTGTGGCGTGAGGCTAGCCGTTCACCCCGACCGAGGGTTGTGGTTGTGTGTTTTTGCAGCCTTCACAAGGCCCCTGCTCCGGCAGGCATCCCTGCGGCAAGGACCGGTGACAAATAAGCCGTCCTGCTTACACGCAAACAGCTTGTTTTCACAGAACCTTTTGTTTTTTCCCCTGCTTTTTTTGATTTCATCTGAATATCCTGGTAAATAAGCCCCTTTTTTTTTGCGGTGGCGCGGCGCCTGCCTGCCTGCTTCGTGGGACAACTCGGGAATCCTTCTGACCTCTTTTGCATTTGAATTGCAATACCTCAGGGGCTGCCCCAAAGAAGAGGGGAGTCCAGCTATTCTCCAAAGCCCCTGAGGGCAGGACAAGGAGCAACGGATGGAAAAACCAGTCAAGGAGAGAAGCAACCTGGAACTAAGGAGAAATTTTGTGACGGTGAGAACAACGAATCAGTGGGACTGCTTGCCACCAGAAGTTGTGGATGCTCCATCGATGGACGTTTTTAAGAAGAGATTGGACAACCATTTGTCTGAAGCAGTGTAAGGTTTCCTGCCTAAGCAGGGGGTTGGACTAGAAGACCTCCAAGGTCTCTTTGAACTCTTGTTATTCTATTCTATTCTATTCTATTCTATTCTATTCTATTCTATTCTATTCTATTCTATTCTATTCTATTCTATTC